TAGATGAAGGATGGAAGGATGGAAGGATGGATGGATGGATGGATGGACAGATGGATGGATGGAAAGATAGATGAAGGATGGAAGGATGGAAGGATGGAAGGATGGATGGATGGATGGATGGATGGAAAGATAGATGGAAAGATAAATGAAGGATGGAAGGATGGATGGATGGAAGGATGGATGGATGGATGGATGGATGGATGGATGGATGGACGGATGGATGGATGGACAGATGGATGGATGGACAGATGGATGTGTTGGGATTGGTAAAGATTTGGAAACTGTCATGGTGCAACCCACAAAATCAACTTTGCTGTTAAACCCACAAACAATTTTTCTAACAAATGTTGCATCATTTAGAGAAACCCAAGAGACTTTCCACCACATGAGATTCATTGTAAATAAGCACTGTTACAACAAAATAATCAACCAAACACAAAGTTCCTTACTAGTAGAGGAAGATGGTCACTTTATCTGCTGACAGTTCCTTCTTGTTAAAAAGGAGTCTTCTCTCCACTGTCGCCTGCTGCTCTGTGTAAGCTCAGGATGAGGAACTGAATCAAAGCAGAGAGCTCATTCAATTCTTCTCCAAATTCAAGTCAAATTTGATTTTAGATGAAATTTATAAATCGCTTTATAATTAGATTGAACTGAGATCCTTTAAATTAAAATACATGTGTTTAATAAAAATGTAAGCAACTGAATTTAAATCCGTTTGCTTTACCTGTGCATGACTCTGAGATTATGTCTCTTGTAAACTGGTGTTATATAAATAAAATTAAATAAATTAGCAGAGCTTAGTGACGCCGTTCCATAATTAGACTGCCTGTCTTCATTACAACAAAGCAGATGAAACACACACTCCAACTAGTGTGTGTGTGTGTGTAAGAACAAGAAAGAAGTGAAGCACTGTTGGGATAATTTATGTATCTCAAAGAAGAAGACCTGCTGGACGGCATGCTGGGGAAATCTCCCTCCATAGGTGGGTTTTCATCAACCAGTCTCTTTCATTCTCTCTCCTGCATTTCCCCGTTCACAAACACAACGAACACAGCTTCCAATTAGGAATCAGAGCAGGATAGAGCCTTTCATGTAAAGACAAGTGTTGTGTCTTAGCTGAGTAAATCTAGAGTGTGTCCATCTGTATGTTGAATGCTAATTTAAGGAGAACCTGAATGTTGAAGGTTTAACACTGGTTACATCAGATAAATGTCCAAATAGACGTGAAAAACTGTTTTTTAATTAATTTACCTACAATACCTGTGCTTACAATATTAGTTTTTTTTAATAATCTACAGTGTGTTTTCTGCCCGACTCAAGAGGAGACTTGCATATTGATCGGCCAAATGTTAGCAGAGACCGGTGCTTCGTTAGGTTTCTGATGGCTAATGCAAACCACTTTACTGAAGATGGATTCAAAGTGAGTCTCTCAATGATACGAACGCCTCGCTCTCCACTCAAAATGTAGCTGACTGGAGATAAACACTGACGGAGAGGAAATGGAGTTTCTCCATCCCACTCAGTGAGCAGAAGATTTTTCTCATTAGGCTTCTTGAAATCCTTCAAACACAACTATGTCAGCAGTGAATGCACGGGGCATTTTAACAGCAGCCCAACAATAAGCACTGCAAAGGACCGAGGTACAGTTGTCACACAGAGCAGAATGTGACAGGAAGGATGGGTTCAAGTTAGCTTCTACAGAAACATCAAAGAAACTGTGCAAAGATCAGTCAGATGAGAATAATGCATTAGTTTGCTAACGGTTTTTGTGTTACTGTAATTGCAGCATATGAATGAAAGGCTTATTTCCTGCACATTGTGCTACCCATTTTAAAACTAATTTTGCAGGTGATATTTTATAGATGAGCTGTGCGATTTAACCATCAAGTGCATAAAAACTTTTGCTCCCATGTTGACAGGAACGTAACTGACCTGGTGGAGATCATTTCCGAGTTTGAACTCCTGGAAATACCCCGGGGCTGCAGATGTGGCACGAACGGCCTGCCACAGCTGGTGGTGGCAGCCGCCCAGGTAGTGCGAGCGCACGCCAGGCAGCAGGTTGTAGTTTCTGAAAACATAGGCCTTCAGAGGAAGACCACGGTTCACAATGGTGCTCACTGCTGCCACCTATAGGCAACCAGGAAATGACATCAAGGTGACTTTAAATACAGGACGATGCTGCGTGTAATGCTGAAACAGATGAAAAATGCAGGACTGATATCATGGCTGACGTTCTGACAGATCAGTTTATTTTCATCTCTGCTCCCCGAGCCTCTGAGTAATCTGCTGACATTTAAGATCTCACGTAATTCGTCAGGCACACTGTCGTTTGGCTTTGGAGTATACAGTATTATCCTTTTACCTGTCTTACAGAAAAATGCAGCAAAGACGAAGAGGAGTTTTCACTTTAATATCCCAGTAAACTAGTTAAAGAAAAGATTTTCTGGAACAAAAAGGAAGAATAAAACATTCTGAAGCTCACCTTGGGACATTTAGGGCTTCTTGTAGTCTCCACCATGAGGCTAGAACCCATTTTCTCCCTAGTGAAGCAAGAAAGGTTTCTGATTTAGTTGTATTGTTTAGGAAAATTCAGAAATCATTTCACAAATACAATAACTCTTCATTTGTTTATATTTTGCTCCTAAGGAGCCAGACAGAGTGCCAAACGTTTTTCTGAAAGTAACAAAGTCCATGCTCAATAATCCAGGTATACAATCCAACATTTTTCAGTCAGGTCAACTTATCACAAGCAAAACTGGTTTGTTCCACTTTAGAGTCAGCTGTTGGGGGAAGGATCAGTTTTGTTGTGCGTTTCCTTGACTGATGAAGCCTTCTGGATCGAAGGTGAAACGTTTCAGCACAAAAAAAAAGAAACTGTCCAGATGACCTGACTGAAAATTGTTGGATTTTTCTGAAAGTCTTTCAAATTATTTTTATTTATCCGTCTTTGAAATTCACAATAAAATTATAAGGGAATTTCTAAAGTTTTAATCAGGACTCTTTTCTTTCTGTTCCTAGGTTTATTAAAGCTGTTTACTGCAGTTTTTAAAGTATATTAGAATACTGCATATATTATTTAAATGAAAGCAAAAAAGTTTTTTTTGTTAAAGGGCATCACCCATTCACTGCAGTTTGAACAGATTAGTTTAGGCAAAACCACTGTTTTGCTAGAGATGTTGCAAAACAACAGTGAAACTGACTTCAGGATGTTCTCCCAGGGTTCGCTGTCATAGAAGGCGTGACTCCAGCCCATCTTCACGGTGCCCAAGATCACGTTCTGTTTAAAAATGTCTGAGCCCAGCTTCCGGTAAAGATCATCGCACTCTTTTACAGGAATTTGGAACAGACCAAGCATGAACCCAATCACTGAACCTACAGGGGGAAACACAGCAAAACAATAAAAGGAGAAAAGTAAACAACATTTTCTGGTAAACAACTTATTTCCAACAGGTAACAGGTTAATACATACATGCATAAACTCTTGGACAGATTTTAATGAAAACAATCACTGGGAGGGCATATATTGCTTATTAACTTTTGGAGACAACCTGATTCCATCATGACTGCCAAAACTACAGGTCCTTCTCAAAAAATTAGCATATTGTGATAAAGGTCATTATTTTCCATAATGTAATGATAAAAATGAAACTTTCATATATTTCAGATTCATTGCACACCAACTGAAATATTTCAGGTCTTTAATTGTTTTATTACTGATGATTATGGCATACAGCTCATGAAAACCCAAAATGCCTGTCCCAATAAATTAGCATATCATGAAAAGTTTCTCTAAACAAGCTATTAACCTAACCATCTGAATCAACGACGTAACTCTAAACACCTGCAAAAGATTCCCGAGGCTTTTAAAAACTCCCAGCCTTGTTCATTACTCAAAACCGCAATCATGGGTAAGACTGCCGACCTGACTGCTGTCCAGAAGGCCATCATTGACACCCTCAAGCAAGAGGGTAAGACACAGAAAGAAATTGCTGAACGAATAGGCTGTTCCCAGAGTGCTGTATCAAGGCACCTCACTGGGAAGTCTGTGGGAAGGGAAAAGTGTGGCAGAAAACGCTGCACAACGAGAAGAGGTGACCGGACCCTGAGGAGGATTGTGGAGAAGGGCTGATTCCAGACCTTGGGGGACCTGCGGAAGCAGTGGACTGAGTCTGGAGTAGAAACATCCAGAGCCACCGTGCACAGGCGTGTGCAGGAAATGGGCTACAGGTGCCGCATTCACCAGGTCAAGCCACTCTTGAACAAGAGACTGCGTCAGAAGCATCTCGCCTGGGACTGCTGCTGAGTGGTCCAAAGTTATGTTCTCTGATTACAGTAAATTTTGCATTTCCTTTGGAAATCAAGGTCCCAGAGTCTGGAGGAAGAGAGGAGACACAGAATTCACATTGCTTGAGGTCCAGTGTCAAGTTTCCACAGTCACTGGGGTGTCATGTCATCTGCTGGTGTTGGTCCACTGTGTTTTATCAAGGGCAGGGTCAATGCAGCTAGCTATCAGGAGATTTTGGAGCACTTCATGCTTCCATCTGCTGAAAAGCTTTATGGAGATGAAGATTTCATTTTTCAGCATGACCTGGCACCTGCTCACAGTGCCAAAACCACTGGTAAATGGTTTACTGACCATGGTATTACTGTGCTCAATTGGCCTGCCAACTCTCCTGACCTGAACCCCATAGAGAACCTGTGGGATATTGTGAAGAGAAAGTTGAGAGACGCAAGACCCAACACTCTGGATGAGCTTAAGGCCGCTATCGAAGCATCCTGGGCCTCCATAACACCTCAGCAGTGCCACAGGCTGATTGCCTCCATGCCACGCCGCATTTAAGCAGTCATTCATGCAAAAGGATTCCCAACCAAGTATTGAGTGCATAACTGAACATGATTATTTGAAGGTTGGTGTTTTTTGTATTAAAACACTTGTCTTTGATTGGTGGGATGAAATATGCTAATTTTTTGAGACAGGCATTTTGGGTTTTCATGAGCTGTATGCCATAATCATCAGAATTAAAACAATTAAAGACCTGAAATATTTCAGTTGGTGTGCAATGAATCTGAAATATATGAAAGTTTCATTTTTATCATTACATTATGGAAAATAATGACCTTTATCACAATATGCTAATTTTTTGAGAAGGACCTGTAATTGTCCTAAGTAAACACAAAATTAGTTGGAAGATAATGAGCTAAAATCTGGTGTGGCAGTAGCTGAGAGTCATCTCCAACTCAAACACAGATCATGCTGGGCCTATGTTTAAAACATTGGCATGCAGTGTGTCAGGTGATATGCATTCCTTCCAGGAACGTTAGCTTTAATTTAACAGGGAGCTCATCTACAGGTGGTCATTAAATTAGAATATCATGAAAAAGTTGATTTATTTCAATAATTCCATTCAAAAAGTGAAACTTGTATATTCATTCATTACACACAGACTGATATATTTCAAATATTTATTTATTTTAACGCTGATGATTATAACTAATGAAAACCCTAAATTCAGTATCTCGGAAAATTTGAATATTACTTAAGACGAAAAAAAAAGATTTTTATAAATGTTGGCCAACTGAAAAGTATGTGCATGAAAAGTATGTGCATGTGCAGCACTCAGTAGTTAGTTGGGGCTCCTTTTGCCTGGATTACTGCAGCAATGCAGCGTGATGTTTGGGGTGCCATGTCATCTACTGGTGTTGGTCCACTGTGTTTTCTGAGTTCCAAGGTCAACACAGCATCTACCAGGAAGTTTTAGAGACTTCATGCTTCCTGCTGCTGACCAACTTTATGGAGATGCAGATTTCATTTCCCAACAGGACTTGGCACCTGCACACAGTGCCAAAGCTACCAGTACCTGGTTTAAGGAACATGGTATCCCTGTCCTTAATTGGGCAGCAAACTCTCCTGACCTTAACCCCATAGAAAGTCTATGGAGTATTGTGAAGAGGAAGATGTGATACACCAGACCCAACAATTCAGAAGAGTTGAAGGTTACGATCACAGCAACCTGGGCTCATAACACCTGAGCAGTGACACAGACTGATCCACTCCATGTAACGCCACATTGCTGCAGTAATCCAGACAAAAGGAGCAACAACTAAGTATTGATGCTGTACATGCTCATACTTTTCATGTTCATACTTTTCAGTTGGCCAACATTTCTAAAAAACTTTTTATTTTATTGGTCTTATGTAATATTCTAATTTTCTGAGATATTGAATTTGGAGTTTTCATTAGTTGTCAATTATAATCAACATCAAAATAAATAAACATTTGAAATCTGTGTGTAATGAAAGAATATAGTCTAGAAGTTTCACTTTTTTAATAAAATTACTGAAATAAATCAACTTTTTCATGATATTCTAATTTTTTGACCAGCATCTGTATACTACTACAGCTTGCTGTAGTAACACCTGTGAAATATCACTAATAAAGTGGTTTAAAAGAGGGATCATGTATTCAAAAAACACCCATTAGAAAGAGCCCCTGATGAGCCATTCAATGGAAGTGGACTGGACTGATGTGATCATCAGAGTTCTAAGTGTTATAACATTTGCTCCCGCTCATGTTTAAGGATGTTAAACTCAATTATGAATGTAAAACAATGCTGTATAACAGAATGACATGGTAACTCACACTGAACAGGTGTGAACCAAATAGTTTTTAAATGAGCAAACATTGTTTGAGCTGACAGGAAAACTTAATTACTATTTAATGTCAATTAAGAGCCTGAAAGAAGTCCAAAAGAACTATGAAGAAATTTACATCAAATTGTTATTTGAAGATAGTCCACAGCACCCCCTTGTGGTGACCACATGTAATGAGGGGAACTAAAACTATTCCACTGCAGAATTATATAAATTCTAGTAATGGATATTTATAAAAACTAAAATGTAATAATATTATTGTAGTTTCTTATCATTTGCTTTGACGTGAGCTTAAGTCCACAGTAGCAAAATGAACATGAGTGTTGAGCCGGTGGTGAAATTGAGGTCAAAACAAGAGCAGAGAAACAACTGGGTCTGACAAAGAGCAGCTGTCCGGGCTGCTTTGATAATCCACAGATGTGCTTTTGTCCACACACACAAAAGTAGAACAGGAGGACAATTTACCTGTGCTGACTCCACAAATGTAGTCAAATAGTTTGTAAATGGGTTTGCCAGTGAGGGCTTCCAGCTTGTGTAAAGTCTGGAGGGCAAGAAGTCCCCTAAACAAATAATGAGACGTACGCGATGATAAATGCACACGACACCTGTAGATTTTATCACAAAGCATTTTGTAACTCAAAATTAAAACATATGTAAAGAAAAGTCGCAATAAATTGTTATGCTTTGCTTGTAAACATATTTCATTAATCTTAAGCTTAATAAAAGTACATTTTAATCTGCTTCAAACAAAGATAAAATCCATAAAGTAAATGTTAAAGAAAAATAAAAGAAAGCAGAGCTGAATTTGTACCTTAAACCTCCTCCATCTATGGACAAGATTCGTATTCCTCGACCTTGAACAGGTTTCTGATAGCCAACTAATGCCAGAGCTTCTCTGACGGCTGCCCTCAAGCCGGGGTCGTTGGCCTGCTTCAAACGCAGGAGGCAAGAGATGACCTTCTCCTGAAGAACACACATGCAGGGGAATGAAAAACACTCCAAGTGCTTAAAGAACAGAATGACTCAACTGCTGCATGTTTCTCCCAAACAGGAAGCAGAAGGGCTAAGTAAAATTTAAACAGGATGAATATACGAATGACTAGTCTAGCGGAGGACAACGGCTGAAAATAAATCTCTGTTGGTCTCCCAACAACCGTTGAGGTAAAAGCTGGTTGTGATTTTACAGAACAAACAATGTTCAGTGTAAATGTTTAAGGGTGCATTCACACCAGCCCTGTTTAGTCCGCTTTAATCGAACTCTAGCTTGTTTTCCTAGAAAGTCCAGTTCGTTTAGGGAGGTGTGAACGCGCCATCGAACTCTGTCACGGAACAAAAAGGCGAACTCCAGCGCGGTTCGAGTACAGTGTGAATGTAATCAGACCGAGCCCCGCTCCACAGGGTAAACAAACACACATTTCTCTGACCTCATATGGAGGCGTCAGCTGCCTTGTGTGAAAAACAATATTCTCCATGGTCTTCTGTCTCATCTTCTGCTCATGCTGAGTCCATTTTTGAAAAATGACAAAATATAACTCCTAAAACTGCTAAAACTTGATGCCACTTCGTTTTTATTTTTATTTACAGAAGAAGAAGAAGACGTGTCTTCAGAGGTTTTTGTGTCGTTTCTTTCAGTAGTTCTTGGTGCAGCGCCCCCACAGGCGAACGGGGGAACAGGTTGGTTCAACAGGTTGACTCGACTGCACAGTGCAGTGTGAATGCAAACGCACCAGCTCAAATGTAAACAAAAGGTCATGAATATTGGTCCCGAACCGAGTCTACCAGACTATCAGGTGTGAAAACGACCTAAAGTTCAGTTCAGAACAAATTCTCCACATTGTCAAAGATAAGGTTGTGATACAAGTACAATGTACTTACGTTAGAAATCATGACCTTACAAAGCAGGTAAAGATAACTACTGGACAAATCAAATAAATACACACAGCAGTACGCAGCCTAAACTGTGCTGCCATTAGGATCCATCCATCATCTTTACCCGCTTCTTCCTTTTTGGGTCGTGGGGGTCTCTGGTGCCCATATCCAGCAGTCACTGTGAGAGGTGGGGGACACCCTGGACAGGTCTCCAGTCCATCACAGGGACACAGAGACAAACGACACAACCATCCACTCTCTCGCTCACACCTAGGGACAATTTAGAGTTACCAATCAGTCTAACATGCATGTTTTTGGTCTGTGGGAGGAAACTGAAGTACCTGGAGAAAACCAGGAGAACATGCAAACTCCACCCAGAAAGGCCCCCAAGCCAGGATTCGGTGACCTTCTTGCTGAGAGGCAACAGCTCTACCAACTGAGCCACCATGCTGCTGCCAAAAAGGATCTTATACAAAAGCTATATACAAAAAAATACAACAAAATGTATAAAAATTGAAGTTGAGAACCAGCAGCAATTGTACTAGATCTGTCTCTTCATGTTGACAGAATCTAGGGACAAAACTCCACTAAAACTCAGAATCTGCAGCTTCCAACTGTAATCTGCAACCACCCCTTCAAAATTACATAAGTATGAAGCTCATATTTTTTAAATAATTGTAGATGTACAGTGGAGCAACAAAGTATTTAGTCAGGCACTGATTGTGCAAGTTCTCCTACTTAGAAAGATGAGAGAGGTCTGTAGTTTTCATCATAGGTAAACTTAACTATGAGACAAAATGAGGGGGGGGGGGGGGGGATCCAGAAAATCACATTGTAGGATATTTAAAGAATTTATTTGTAAATTATGGTGAAAAATAAGCATTTGGTCAATAACAAAAGGTCAACTGAATACTTTGTAACATAACAACAAAGTCCATGCTCAATAATCCAGGTATACAATCCAAGGAAGAGGGGGCATACCAAAGAGACCATCTTATCACAAGCAGAACTGGTTTGTTCCACTTTGGAGTAAGCTGTTGGGGGAAGAATTAGTTTTGTTGTGTGTTTCCTTGACTGATGAAGCCTTCCGGACCGAAGGCGAAACGTTTCAGCACAAAAAAACAAACTGTCCAGATGACCTGACTGAAAAATGTTGGATTTGTAACATAACCTTTGTTGGCAACGACAGACGTGTCCTGTAAGTCTTCACCAGGTTTGCACACAGTGTAGCTGCTATTTTGGCCCATTCCTCCGTGCAGATCTCCTCTAGAGCAGTGATGTTTTGAGGCTGTTGCTGGGCAACATGGACTTTCAACTCCCTCCACAAATTTTCTATGGGGTTTAGGTCTGGAGACTGGCTAGGCCACTCCAGGATCTTGAAATGCTTTTTATGGAGCCACTCCTTCGTTGCCCGAGTGTTGTGTTTGGGATCATGGTCATGCTGGAAGACCCAGTCACGTTCCATCTTTAATGCTCTCACTGATGGAAGGTTTAGACTTAAAATGTCACTGTACATGGCCCCGTTCATTCTTCCCTTGACACGGATCAGTCGTCCTGTCCCCTTTGCACAAAAACAGCCCCAAAGCATAATGTTTCCACCCCCATGCTTCACAGTAGGTATGGTGTTCTTGTGATGCAACTCAGTATTCTTCTTCCTCCAAACATGACGAGTTGAGTTTTTACCAAAAAGTTCTATTTTGGTTTCATCTGACCACGTGATATTCTCCGTCCTCTTCTGGATCATCCATATGCTCTCTGGCCAACTTCAGACAGGCCTGGACATGTACTGGCTTCAGCAGGGGGGCAAACCTGGCACTGCAGGATTTGAGTCCCTCTCTGTGTAGTGTGTAGCCTTTGTTACTTTGGTCCCAGTTCTCTGCAGGTCATTCATCAGGTTCCTCCATGAGGTTCTGGGATTTTTGTGCACCGTTCTCATGATCATTTTGACCCCATGGGATGAGATTTTGCGTGAGGCCCCAGATCGAGGGAGATTATCAATGGACTTGTAAGTCTTCCATTTTCTTACAATTGCTCCCACAGTTGATTTATTCACACCAACCTGCTTGCCTATTGTAGATTCACTCTTCCCAGCCTGGTGCAGGTCTACAATTTCCTTCCTGGTGTCTTTTGACAGCTCTTTGGTCTTGGCCACAGTTGAGTTTGGAGTCTGACTGTTTGAGGCTGTGGACAGGAGTATTTTATACAGATAACGAGGTCAAACAGGTGTCATTAATACAGGTAACAAGTGGAAGACAGAAGAGCTTCTTAAAGAAGAAGTTACAGGTCTGTGAGAGCCAGAAATCTTATTGTTATTGACCAAAAACTTATTTTCCACAATAATTTATGAATAAATTCTTTAAAAATCCTACAATGTGATTTTCTGGATTCCCCCCTTTTGTCTCTCATGGTGGAAGTGTACCTGTGATGAAAATTACAGCCCTCTCTCATCTTTCTAAGTAGGAGAACTTGCACAATCAGTGGCTGACTAAATGATTTTTTGCCTCACTGCATGTTAATGTGATTTTATTTAAAAGCCCACATTTCAGTTTAAACGTGTGAATTGTTGTTTTGCACATGCATGCTTTCATTAACTCGCTAAGCTTTACAACAGTTAGAAACAACAGTTTGTTTCTCGTTAATTACAGAGCTTATTCATTATGCAGTAGAGCTAATCAGAGCCAGCCACTGGCTGTCTGCTTCATGTTGCTACAAATTAAGGATAAAAATATGTGTAAGACTGTTTAGATTTCTCACCTTTACCGCAACACCACGAGTGTCGGGGAACTCCAAAAGGTGGTAACTTAAGTCCTCCACCCTGCTGATGTAGACCCTCACATCTGAAGCTCGGTGGAGGGCCTGGACCAGAGCCCGGGTTCGGTTGTCCACACTCACCCTGGCAATAATCTAGGAAGGACAAATCATCAAATATATGAGTAGGCAGTACATCTCTCTTTTTCATTGGTTACATCTGTTAATATAATTGACCCAATAACCCATTTAGATTAGAATCAAATAACCACGTTCATCATGGTTTCAGATCTGGAGCAAAACTTGCATAATTTTACCTTTCAAGCCTGATACATTTGGAGTGTTGTTCCTTTTTCAGATGCAAAATATATTTTTTAATCCATGTTGGAACACAAAGGCCTACCTTGCCCATCATTTCTTTTCCCTATGTAGTTTATTAAAAGGCTTAGAAACAAAAATCTCAGTGGACAGATATGACATGAACAAAAAACATTTTTTCTCTGTTTTTAAACATTACTCGGGGTTGAGAATGTTTTATTCACTTTGAATAACACCTTAGGTGTTATTTAAACCAGCCACTAGGGAGCACAAGCCAGTGTATCTCTTGTGCCGATGCCAAGCCCGGGTAAATGGTGAGGGTTGTGTCAGGAAGGGCATCCAACGTAAAACACTTTTGCCAAAACTACACTACCTGGCCAAAAAAAACACTTGCCACCAAAAAAAAGTCATAAACTAATATTCCATTGGACTGCCTTTACCTTTGATTACAGTATGCATTCTCTGTGGCATTATTTCAATAAGTTTCTTCAATGTCACAAGATCTATTTCCATCCAGTGTTGCATTAATTTTTCACCAACATTTTGCATTGATGATGGCAGATTCTGACCACTGCACAAAGCCTTCTCCAACACATCCCAAAGATTCTCAATGGGGTAAAGGTCTGGACTAGAGCTGGGCGATATATCGATATTTTAAAATATCTATATAATTTTTTTTTTGTGATATAAGTTGAGACTATTTTGATATAAAACAATATAGTTTTATATCTTGATGCATGCTCAATGCTCAATGCTCAATATAGTTTTATACTTGGAAATCCTCTTGCTGTCTTTTTTCTCCCACTCGCCCCCCTCCTTCTCCCTCCTTGAACACAAACCCAGCCCCTGAGCCGCGCTCCCCTCCTTCCTGCTTCTCCAGGAGGTGGGCGGGAGGGAGAGGAGACGTTTAGCCCAAGTAAACACGGAAAATAATATGAAGAGTAGCTTAGTTGCTGAACAAAACGAAAAACAATGACTGTTCTTTCAGAACTAGTTTGGATTTAGATTGTCAGATGAGGGAGAGAAATATGATTTATGTAGATAATTTTTACAGTCCCAACGAAAGGTTGGAACTACGAATCTTTTTCACCAATTAAAAACAGCGGAGTGGAGTATTGTGAACTGCAGCTGCAGGTCCGAGTGTTTTTTAGCCTTCTTCCCTGAAAAAAAAAAAACACAGTTCAGAACTCATTTAGCCGTGCTGTGCCTTATGAGTGGAACAGTCAGAGGTAGCGCGACATTTATAAATCAGCAGCTTATCATATCGATTAGCATCTAACAAGACGGCTAACGTTTTAGCCGTCTTGTTCCGCTGAGACGGAACCGTGTCTTAGCAATATGATAAGTTGCTGATTTATTAATGTTGCACTACCTCCGACTGTTCCTCTCATAAGGCACAGCACAGCTAAATGAGTTCTGACCCGTGGTTTGTTTCAGGGAAGGAGACAGGTCTGTCAGACCTGCAGCTTCACGGTTCCGAGTGGAGGCTCACTACCGCAGTTCACACACGCTTACTAACGTGAAGGCGGTGCAGTTGAATGGACTATACTTTTATATCACTTTTCTATCTTATCAAAACACTCAAAGCTCTTTACAACACAATCCGTGCCCTCATTTACCCATTCATGCACTCTACTAGATTTATATAAAGACTAAGCAGAGCTTTATCACATTCATGCACTGATCGGACACACATTGGAGGAAATGAGGAGTTCAGTGTCTCACTCAGGAACACTTCAGCATGTGACTGCTGGTGGAATAGAACCCCCAACTCTCCCATTGGAGGACGACTGCTCTTGTTCCGGGAGGATCCAGCTCAAATTAGCCACGGGTGGTGCGAATGACAAATAAATAAACATTGACTTTTAACTTTGATGATGTGGAAGAGAAATACATTTTTGGAAGGATCTGGATGAAGTGATAGAGCATATTCCCAAGGAGGAGAGAGTAGCGATCAGAGCAGACCTGAATGGACATGTTGGTGAAGGAAACAGAAGGGATGAGGAAGTGATGGGCAGGTTTGGTGTCAAGGAAAAAAACCATGAAGGACAGACGGTGGTGAATTTTACCAAGAGAATGGAAATGGCTGTAGTCAACACTTATTTGCAAAAGGAGGAGGAACATAAAGAGACATAGAAGAGTGGAGGAAGGAGTATGCAGGCAGAGTTCATTCTGTGTAGAAGAGGAATGAAACCTTAGGGAGATTGGGGACTGTAAGGTTGTGGCAGGGGAGAATGTGGCCAGACAGCATCGGATGGTTGTGTGTAGAATAACTGTTGTTGTGAAGAAGAGTAAGGAGTAAAATCAGAGAAGAAGACCAAATGGTGGAAGCTGAAGAAGGAAGAATGTTGTGAGAAATTCAGAGAGGAACTGTTAAAGGCTATGGGTGGTAAGAAAGAGCTCCCAGATGACTGGACTACTACAGCAACAGTTATTAGAGAGACAGGTAGGAAGGTACTTGGTGTATCATCTGGACAGAGAATGGATGATAAGGAAACCTGGTGGTGAATGAAGTGCAGGACGCCGTTCAAAGTAAGAGGTTAGCCAAGAAGAAATAGGACAGTGAGAGGACAGAAGAGGAGACAGGAATATAAGGAGATGCAATTTTTAGCAAAGAGGGAGGTGGCAAAGGCAAAGCAGAAGGCGTATGATGAATTGTATAAGAGTCTGGACACTAAAAAGGGAGAGAAGGACTTCTACCGATTGGCATGACAGAGGGATCAGGCTGGAAAGAGTGTGCAGCAGGTTAGACTTGTTAAAGATAGGAATGGTAATGTTTTAACAAGTGAGGAAAGAATGACGGGAAGATGGAAGGAGTATTTTGAAGAGCTAATGAATTAGGAGAATGAAAGAGAAAGAAGAGTAGAGGTCATAGAAACTGTGGACCAGGAAGTGGGAAAGATTAGTGAGGGTTAAGTTGAAAAAGCTCTGAAAAGAATGAAGAAGGGGAAGGCAGTAGGACCTGATAACATACCAGTGGAGGTTTGGAAATGTCTTGGAGAGATAGCAATGAGGTTTTTGACTCAAATATTCAATGGCATAGTTACTGACAGTGAACTAATTCAATGCTCTTCTTTGTATGTTTGCTACAATTATTTTGTAATGTTCTTTAAATTAACACATTTGGTTCAGAATTCAGTGGAACAGAAGTAATGTTCAGCTCGGACTTTTCTGAGTGTGACAAGCAAAAAATGAGTGTGCTTACCGCATGTGTTCTACATCTCATTAAGGGACTCATGTCAAGTATTATGTGAAGCAATGTGTTAAATTCAGCATCTGACCTGCTCGTTGAGAAGTGTGAAGTGAAAGTCCAAAGTCCCGTTTGGTTACAGCAGGCAATGATTGATTCAAGGTGTCTGTTAATTTGAGTTTCCATATAAATGTGATAAACAGGCATTTTATGTTTGTAACTTAATATATACTGGGTCACAACTGGTCACAATGTTATTTGTAAGGCATGTTACTTGATGTTTAAATGATTTGAAGTTGTTTGAAGAACTTGTCCTCATGGTGACTGATGGGAGTAACAGGCATACTTGTGGGTGAGAAAATTGGATTGGAGAAGAAGTGTGCTGGTGCTCATTTTTAAGAACAAGGATGATGTACAGAGTTGTAGCAACTACAAGGGAATTAAGTTGATGAGTCACTCAATGAAGATCTTGGAGAGAGTTGTGGAAACAAGACTTAGATGAGAGGTGATTATTTGTGAGCAGCAGTATGGTTTCGTGTCAAGAAAGAGCACCACAGATGCCATCTTTGCTTAGAGGATGCTGATGGAGAAGTACAGAGAGTGTCAGAAAAAACTCCATTGTGTCTTTGTGGATTTAGAAAAAGCATATGACAAAGTGCCGAGGGAGGAGGTGTGATATTGCATGAAGAAATCTGCAGTGGCAGAGAAGTATGTTAGACTGGTACAGGACATGTAAGAGGACAGCAGGGCAGTGGTAAGATGTGCTGTAGGAGTGACAGATTGCTTCAATGTGGAGGTGGGAGTACATCAAGGATCAGCTCTGAGCCCCTTCTTGTTTGCTCTGGTGACAGACCATCTAACATATGAGGTAAGGCAGGAATCCCCATGGACCATGATATTTGCAAATGACATTGTGATCTGTGGTGAAAACAAGAAACAAGTGGAAGAGAACTTGGAGAGGTAGAGGTATGCACTTGAAAAAAGAGGAATGAAAGTCAGCCGTAGTAAGACAGAGCACATGTGTGAATGAGAGAGAGGCTGGTGGAACAGTGAGGCTAATAGGAGCAGAGGTCACAAAGGTGCATGACTTCAAGGACTTGGGGTCCACTGTCCAGGAAAATGGGGAGTGTGGCAAAGAAGTGAAGAAGAGTCCAGGCAGGATGGATGGACAAAAGTTTCAGGAGTGATTTGTGACAAAAGGGTGTCAGCAAAGGTCAAATGAAAAGTTTACAAGGCAGTGGTGAAACCAGTTATGTTGTATGGTCTGGAGACAGAGACATGGACAAAAAGACAGGATAAAGAACTGGAAGTGGCAGAAATTAAGATGTTGAGGTTCTCCTTAGGAGTGACAAGGATGGATAAGATTAGGAATGAGATCATCAGAGGTACAGCACAGGTTGAACAACTGCGAGATAAAGTTAGGGAGACCAGACTGAGATGGTTTAGACATGTCCAGAGGAGGGACAATTGTTTGGATATGTCCAGAGGAGAGACAACAGGTAAATTGGTAGAAAAATGTTAGAAATGCAGCTGCCAGGAAAAAGACAAAGAGGAGATATATGGTTGCAGTTAGAGAGGACATGGAGGTAGTTGGAGTGAGGACAGAGGATGCAGAGAAGAGTGAGATGGAGGAGGATGACTCGCTGTGGAGACCCCTGAAGAGGGAAAAGTCGAAAGAAGAAGCAAGAAAACCTTAGGTGTTATTTAGTTTGTGTATCTTATCAAAAATAAAATACATGTTTGTGCAACAGAAAAGAGTAATGAATCAGAATATTAGTGACAAATGTGGCAGCTAATTGTAATTTCATGTCAAATCTTTAAATGATTTTTAAAATATTTTTAGCAAAAATGCACTCTGGCATACTGTGGGTTTAAATGACAAAATAAATATTTACTTGACTGAAACTATGTGGTTTTTTTTTTGTATTTGATAATTAACAATTCTGCACTTTGTCGTAAACTATATTTCAGATGTTTTTAAATCTTTACAGCACGTGACTACAGAGAACAGAGGTTCTTTGAACCACTAACTCTGTAAAGAGGGAGGTGGGATATTTTTGAAAAGAGATTCCCAGAACTCAGGCAGGCTGTAAGCACACTGCCACCTGCCCTACAGAGGGTCAGCCTGCAATAATACACCAGATACTCTACTGCCTCATGGTGGCACCGTGTTGTGCTTGCTCATGATGTAAAGCAGGATCACAACATGTCAGCTCAGACTGTCTTATTACGACTCTCAGCTACTACCTATTCAAATTTCAGCTCAATATCTGAAACTTTGGCTGAGTTAAAACATTTTTTGTGTTGGCTGCTGTCGATTAGCTGTGGCAACTATCTTGAACTGGATTGAATCCAAATGCTAATCAGTTATAGATGAACATCCAATGGTTTATTTTCTGAACGTTTTATTAATACCCATCCAGTGAGTGACTCATGAGATATTTTGTTAACAGAAAAACAAAATTGGCTCCAACAGCTGATGTTCAAGTTTTAAGCATAGATCTCACAAATTCAAAAGCTTTTAGAGTATGCACTTTGAAAAACTCTCAATACTACCACTCCAAATTTTAGCCCAATATCTGTAAACTGGACCAACTGTAATTTATGTGTTTGTTGTTGGCTGTGGCAGCCATCTTGAATTGGGTTGAACCCAAATGTTAATCAGTTGTAGAAGCATACCCGATTATTACTTTGTAAGTGTTTACGGTAATTGAAATCTGTCCAGTGGTTCATATTTTGCTAACAATACAGACAAAAGACACACACAGGGAAAAACATTGTTGCCCTTTTGCCTTCAGCACTGAGTGATAAAAATACATTTTTCAAAAGGATGCTCAAGGAACTGTTTAACCCCACTAAGTTTTGCTGCAAAAGGAAAACTTGTTAAATAAAACATGTCTGTGCTGCACACCTACCTTTTCACGTTGAAGCAGAAGTTTCTTTGCCTTCTCCTCTGCAGTCGCCTGCTCTTTACTGACTGTGGCCTCAGACTGTTTTCCTGACATGTCTTCAGTCTTCTTCTCCTCCACTGTTGCACTTTTGGACTCTCCTGTCCTGAACTTGGGAACAAGGGGAGCTATGTAGTTCCCAACAATCGCCTGCACAGCTGGAGCTGAATAGGATAGGTACTGTCCCAGACTTTTCTTGGAGGAGGGCGAGACAACTATGGGAGTTGGCTCCGTTTTGTCAGACATGATGTCTGATGGTTGTCGTCGTCGAGAGGAGGAAAGGTCAACACTGCCCCCCTTCTTGTCCTGAGCTTTTGAGCTGCTGCTAAAATAAGAGTTGATGTGATGAGCTAGATAGGTGTAAGTGTCATCCAGGTTGACAGACAAGGAACTGGGATGAAAAAGTGCTGTTGATTCTTTGGGAGTTGTGTCCTCGCTCTCAGCATTGCTCAGTGATGGTGGAAGCTCCTCCAACCTTTTGGCACACTTAGCTTTGATAGTTGGAAAAACTTGTCTGAGCCTCTTATTCTTGTCTTCACACACAGTCAGGGCTGGGGCAGTGTCCGTCACCTGGGCGGAACCATTAGAAGGGCTGGAGGTAGTGGTACTTGCATCTAATGCAGCAGCAGAGGAGGGGAAATCAGGGCAAGCAGGAGCTGATTGTAAATTAGGTTGAGATCCAGAAGGCAGAACACTATTAGTGGAAGCAGGAGGAATGGACAGGGTTGCAGTCTCTTCTTCACTTGCCCCAGCCTGTTTCCTGGCCTTCAAAGCATTACCTCTCAGGCGAGAGATTCTGGACATGAGTTCTGTGTGCGTCCCACTCACAGCTTTTGAAACTGTGTCCAGCGTGCTTCTGACCCGCGACATGTGTTGGCTCAGCCCGGCAGACCAACGAGAAGTTGAAGCGTTCAAACACAAGGAGCTGGTGTGGAGTCCAAGACGCTGTTTAACCTGACAAACCTTGACGATCCATCCCTTCCTGCTTCTGAGCCTCGGGTTGTGGAAGTACTTCCAACTGAGACGTCCACCATGGCAGGAAACAGGCTGCTGATGAATCCTACAGTGAGAGGAGCCAAACAGAGGAAGAGATGCTGCTGACTGGTGAGGATGGCTGTGCCACAGAAAAGATGCTCTACCTAGTTTCACCCAAGCATTAGGAGCCCATCTGTGATTCATACTGTTTCAGATAAAGTAAGGCATCCAAGAAACAATAAACACGCTCTGTTTATTGACTTTTCTCATTAACCTGGTGACGAATAATAAAAAGTACGGATTAAAATCACAAAACCATTAAAACAATGAAAAACACAATTTAAGAAAATCATAATGAAATGACAAACTAAAATACTAACCATGAGCACTACTAATTCGTATTTTGTTTAACCTCGACAACTATTTTTGTTCTGAGCTCCTTTAAAGAGACTCTTTCATAACTGTTCAGTACATTAGCTTAGCGCAGCTAACGTTGATAAAGGCCACAGAAACTGTAACAAGTCATACCAGCCTCTCTACGAGTTCGTCTCAAGAATGTCCGAAATCCCTCGTTCGTTTCATTTGCGTCGCCTTCTTTCTTTAGTGCTGGTCCAACCAACTCTGTTTCACTGCAAGAGTCCTTCGACCTATTTCCAAACCGAAGAAACGATGACGGCAGAAAGAAAAACAACAGTCACGTGGTTAGTTCTCTGCTTTTCTATTGGCTACCTAAAACTAGGCCGATAAATGGAAGCTGCTGATTGGCTGACGAAGTTCACCTTTCCAGAGTCCTGTAAAGAGAGAGTTGGGACACTCTTTGAACTCGCCGATACGCGGTCACGTGGTTCATGCAGCTCCCAATAGTTCCAAACAGTTCATCGCTGTCAGTCAATTTGAGCAGCTGCTGGCGCAACATAACACAAAAATCGACTTTTCTTACTTTACCTGGCGTCTTTCAGTAATTACTGAGCAGTAACAAACTGATTACTTTACTGATTACTGATTATTTCACAGACTATGCATTTTATCAAAGCATTTTTTAGAAGCGGTTGGTTCATACATTTATAATTATAGAAGGAAACCAGACTGCAAACACATATTTGTTAGAAAAATAATGTATATGCAATACAATGATCAATATAGCCATGTCAGTGTTTTATAACGTTAAAAAAAGATCAGAGTAACTCCTGTTATAAAGCTGTTTCTGATGTTCTCTGCAGGATAATGCTCCACCTTGTCCTCCATGCAGCATCAGATCTGCTCCAGTTTACCTCAGATCATCTGGATGAATTCTTGATTTCTATAGAAGATATTAATTCAACCTTTATTTAAACAGGTTCGTCCCATTGAGCCACGAGGACTCATTTACAAGAGAGACTGAATATAATTGTTGTATTTGTCGTTTTTTT